TTGTAATTTGAGGATCATTATAAAAATTAATATTCTCTATATCATGAAGTTTGTAATATTTTTTACAACTTCATTGTAATAGACCATTTGAACTACAGCAAAGAAATTTTACTCCATGAAAAGAAAGTTTTTTTGGCAGTGGAACAAGTGATGAAAGAAATTGAAAAATAATTGCCAGCCTCTTAGCAAGAGCTCAGAGGAATTAGAGGAACACTGCATCTCTAAAACCATTACGAAATTCAAATTATTCACCATGTAAGGGTTAAATCAACTGTTACCTTTTCAAAAATGCTTTTGGATATACTGTTTCTGTCAGTGTTGAATGTGACAGTAAACAACCAGCAGTGCTGTAAAAGCAGAAGGTCACAGCACTTAGCGAACAGTTACAGTCTGACAAGATTTACGTATGCTCTGTGCCCATTGGACTCAGCCCGTTGGACTCGGAGTGATGGCTTGGGCTTTGGTGACTGATTTTGTAAGGCTGGGTAGCATATGCGTCCTTTGAGCACTTTAGGTCTGATTCTGATCTCATTTGAAGTTGGTGGTGGTTATTTTCATAGTAGTACTCAAAGTGAATATTTTACCCACGGTAGTCACAGAATCACAGAATGGTAGATCTTCATTTCTGAAAGTGCTGATTAGCGTTTAAACCAGGTGAGGATTATCTGTCTCCCTGTCATTGGCATTCTGTATGAGTAATGTGTACATATATGCGATATCAAACTGCACGAGTGCAGATATGACTCCTCTAAACTCAAAGTTCAGTGTTTCCCTAATTACTTACAGCCTATTGAGATTAAAGCGACAAGATCTCTTTTGTGTTAAACAAGAAGCTCACATTCTTCGCTGATGAGCTACTCTCCTAGCAACATTCTTGCAAACAGACGGTCCCAGTCCCCCCTCCCAAGAAAGCCTTTGTAACTTGTGGTTGACCTAATTGTGCAGCAACAGCACTGCTGCTCCTAAGCAGGGGAGATCCCTGGTATGGCACTCCCTTGGGTTTTGCACAGTCCGCAGCCTGGAGCAGGACGTAGGTAAGCAGCAATGCAAGGTGTTGAGGGACACTCTCCAGTTTCACTTGTGGGTGAGATACTCCATGGAGATTTCAGTATGACTCGGAGACTGTGGGCCAAGTTCTACACCCCTTTCAATATCACACCCCTCCTGAAGCCAGTGAACTGGGTCATGTGTTACTGAAAAAAAGATCTTGGCATTGATACGTACTTGAAAACACAGACAGTCTTCTGAGGTACAGCAGTGTTTCAGTAATGCATTATCTGTGGCAATTGTTATTTGTGTGTCCAATCATAGAATCACAGAATGGTTTGGGTTGGAAGGGACCTTAAAGTTCATCTGGTTCCAACCCCCCTGCTGTGGGCAGGGACACCATCCACTAGACCACGTTGCCTAAAGCCCCATCCAACCTGGCCTTGAACACTTCCAGGGATGGGGCCTCCACAACCTCTCTGGGCAACCTGCGCCAGTGCCTCACCCC